GGTTTCTCTCATATTTAATAAAGTTTTCCTTTATTAATCCTAACATTATAATGTCCCCACACATTAAATGTTACAATTGTAGTACTTATAATACTTGTGAAATTTTTTTGTCGCATTTTGTAAAATATTGTTGTGTATCAAAAAAGGTAAATGAAAGTGTTTGTGATTCTTAATTTGATGAATATTTTTTGTATATCTCATAAATGGATAGAATATATGCTCGAGTGTTTAATTTAAATTTATCTGAAAAGATTGAAAGCTTATTTCAAGGATTTAAAATAGCCAAGGTAATTGAACATTTGTCCATTATATTCTAATAACTTGTAATTTTTTGAGGCATCAAACTTGCCACCTCACATTGTAATTAATTATTTTTTTTTGTATATGTTGTTAGATATTCTTGAATACTAACAAAAATGAATTATATATCACCTATAGTTGGATAAGATGATGCTGACAAATGCTTAGTAGCTTTTTCTATAGGTTCAAAGAGTAAAAGAATATTCTATAAAACGCATATATATATTATCTTAAGATGAGTTTAGCTTGTGTTGATATTAAAAAATTACAAAATTTTTTATCTTAATTATAATTCATTCATTATTATTAAAAAAAAGATCAAATAATTAATAATCTGCTATCAATAAAATTAAAGCTGATTGAAGTGTTTCAAAGCATTTCAACATATAATATGTTAAGTTCCAACATGTTTCAATGTCCAAAATAAATTTGAAATAATTAATTTTTTAACTTCATATAAGAGACAAAGATCATCACAAAGATGAGTGGAATTTTTGAGTTTGCTCATTAAAGTATATATCTTATTAATAATATTATTGAATAATTTTAATCCTTGTTGTACTGCTAAGTTTAAGATATATGCTGCACAACGATAATGTGAAAAAATAAATGATGAAAATTCATCATTAAAATTTGAAGTAATCTTCTTTTCACAAACTAGCATTGCAGATGCATTATTTGTTGTAAGTGCAATAATTTTTTCAGTAATATTGAATTCTTCTAAAACTTTCATTATTTCTTTTGCAATATTTATTCCTGAGTAATTGATCTTAAAAGGGATAATATTAAAAAGAAAGTTATAAAGACACCAATTAGAATCTATATAGTGAACAATGAGCCCCCAAAAAGCCTTTCTATTTATAGTTAAAGTTCACATATCAGCTATTAATAGGGTTCCAAAAAAGTATTGAACTGGTATCGAACTGGTATTAAAATGATACCGATCTATAGTAAATTTAATATATGGGTTGTGACCTACTTATATGTTTTTATAGTAAATTTAAGTATCGAACTAGTATCAAAGTGATATCAAAGTAGTATCGTTAGGAGCCTTAGCCGTTAATGAACATTTCCTTGGGATTTGATAGAATTTTCTAATTATTTTATTTTTTTAATTTACAAATTCATTAATTATTAATTCTATTAAATTAATAAATTAAAAGATTTTATTAGTTAAATATAAATAATAATTTTTACATAAGCCAAACTTGGCTTATATTTACCTTTAGCTTGATATCAATTAGGAATAATATAGCATGAACACAGAAAATTAATGAATGCTCTAAAATAATAATTATTTATTACAATAAATGGTTGAAGGTCACAAATTAACCAATGAATACGATATATAGTATGTTATGTTCGTTTTGCTCTTGCTCATCAAAAAAATCTATTTTTTTAAAAGGTATGGTTTTTTGTTTTTTTTGTAAGTGCTTTTAAATAATGTTTTATTAAATGTTTTCTTAAGGAAGTGATACTTGTTGTTAATTTGTATTTGTTAGAACATTTTTTATAAACATTGTAATCTGGCACATTAGGTGAATTCTTTTTAAAATATTTTCATACTGAACTTTTGATTGAACTCTCAGAGGTAACAGTTTCTGAATCAATTATTTCTGAATCTATATCATAAAAAAATTGACTGCTTTTATTATATAAATTTTTGTTTTCATTTTCATTTTCAGAAAAATCATTAAAAAAGTCATTATCCTCATAAAAAATTTCTTCATCAGACATTTTTTTATTATATGAGAAAGAATCAAGTTTAACACAAGCTGAGTTTGGCTTGTGTTATATATAAAATTTGTGTAACATTTAGTTTTATTGGATGAATCGTCAGTTCCAACACTTCAAATTTTGGAATCGAGAGTCGATAGAATGGTGTTCTAGAACCAAGCTCGAGCTGCTTATTTGTGAAACGTCCCCATCCCTACCTACAGATGGGTCCACTATTCTTTTGATTGAGATTATTTTCCCAGCTATAGATGGTGATACGATTTTATTTTCAGAATATAAAACAATTCGAAAGCTCCTTCCATACAAATAAAAAGCGGATGGCAGAACAAGCATTCAATGATGGATATGATTATCTTTATGGTATTGTTTCCTCTGGCGTTGATTGGCATTTTTTTATGTTTGCATCAGATGGGTTATATTGTACAAGTAAAACTGAGTACCAAATAGATCTTACAAAAAAAGCACTTAAAGGAAATCAGGAAAATTTGAGAGATAATATAAAACAGGTAATCGGTATAATTGTAGGGTTATTAAAGGATAGAGTAACCGCATGTGATGAACCTGAAAGCAAAAGGTGATGCATGCAAAAAAAAATTACCAAAAAATAGTGAGTAGGCTCAAAGAGCCATGATTCGGAGAATCACCTAACAGCTTGTTTTATAATAGATAGTTTAACCGCCCTCATGTATTTTGTACTGTATCAATAAAACAGTTAGACTTAAACGGTCCTTTTTTTCCGATAATTAATTTTGTGTACAATAATAAACATTTTTTTATTTGAGATCATCACCAAGATCCATTCAAGACCATCATTCAGGAATATCGATTCCGTTAATGGATAGGATCTAAAATATTGACCAAAGTGTGTATAAAAACAGATAGAAATCTGTTACTCGATTACATTCTTAATCATTATGTCTCTCCTTCAGTCTTAAAACCCTTGCATATAATATTTTAAAAGAAACGGGAGACATCATCCAAAATACAGAAAATCTCGAACCACTTCAATGCTCAATATGCAAAGAAAAAATTTTAACACTCACATACGAATCATTTACTATTCTCAGTAGATGTGAACATATTTTTTACAGAATATATATCGAGAAAAAAATTCTATACACAACACCAAGCATATGCCCTTTTATCGGTTGCAGTAGAAGCATCGAGAATATTGATGAAACTCAAAGATGAATCTCTGTATCTTCTGAAATAAGTGGTACTTCGAATCTGGCTGATGAATTTACCTGTAATGTTGGATTTAGTTCTCAAAAAACTTCATCTCAAGATCAAGATGTAGATATGGATGGAAATGAAGAAATAGGACATCGAGTTGAAATTCCATCCAACCTACTGCAAAAGCATGTTAACGAAGCTACCCTTACAGCAAGTTCCTCTAATAAAAAGATCAAGAAGCCGGTTAATAGAGAAGAATCGACAAAACTGAAGAAACTTATTGATAAATTATTATCCAGCGATTCTTTACAAACTAATGAAGCTATAGAAGAGAGTGCCTCTAGTCACGCTATGACTGCTTCCACCAAAGGTAATGCTAACGATTTTTTATATTTTTTTTTAAAAGATTGATCAATCCGAATCTAAATATCAAGTTACTAATAGAGAAGTCATTAGTAGTTATTTCGACTTTGGAGAAATTTTATATAACCAATATAAGGATTTAAAAAAAGATAATGGCAAGGAAGGAGCAAATACTCTACTTTTTGATGAGGTTAGGAAACAAATACCTATTGAAATGACTGATGGCGCCTTAAGGAAGAGAACGGAGAGAGCCCGAAAAATCTATAGGCTTTTCACTGCTATTGTTAAAGGGGATGAGAAGTTAGCGAAACAAAAAATAGTGTTAATCAGATCATTTTCGGCATATTCCATTTCAAGCTTAAGTAGAGATGATATTGATTTTGTAATTGTCATATTTGAAGACAACGAAGTGAATTACTGCGCCCTTGTAATAAAACCATGAATGTATAACAATAAAATCTCTATCTTGCAAATTTTTATCAAGTATAGTATATCGACAGTATATCGTCGAGCGATGTTAACTAGTTCATCATATGTCCCACTGCCATTAAAGAGAACAATATGCAGAGCATAGACTCTCTGACTCATATAATTGTATATTTCAGACTAACATAACCACACTTTGGCTATATTATATTACAACATATTGTATAATTAGATGCAATAACATCCTTACTTTGTGAGATTGAATTTGTATGCCTCGGATTTGCATATCTCGGATTTGTTTATCTCGGACCGGACAATCTCAAATGGTAGGTGTCGTATATTCCTATCGCTGGAAAATTAAATCATATATTTGTAATACACTCAAAATAGATTTTATGTGTCGGATATCAAACTTCTACGGCAATATTTGAATCAAAAATATCGATGCAACCTGCAATAAAAAAAATACTTATTTTCACTTTATTGTAACAATAAAATATATAGGCATATAGATGCCGGATACATCGGTATAAATGCATCGTTTATAAATGTCTATTGTCTGTGAAGCAAGAAATTCTGTATTTAATAGGTATAGGTTGAACGGTTCGATTTTGTATAAGTTTCACCGGTATTTAAATCATAATAATAACCTTCATTATCGTCATCAGAAAAACCACAGAAACTCCCATCTTCTTCATTATCATTGGTGAATTCATCGTCATCGGAGAAATTTTCTGGCTTATCGTCGGATAAAGCAGTAATTAAAGATTGTAGTTTGTTATTATTGGCATTTGTATCACTTACCTCGGTTCCAGTTGATGCATTTACCGAAGCTTCTCGTAAGTCCAAATCTTGATCATCTGAAGAATTGTCCTGTTCGTCAGTATATTCTATATCAGGCTTTTTGGTAAAGTGATCTATAATAATTTGAATCTGAGAATTAGTGAATTTTGAAATAGCATTTGCACTATATGATTTAATATATTGAACCTTATCTAAATCTATTTTTTCAAATAGGCTGTAAATTTTTCTAGCTCTTTCTGTTTGCTTCTGTAATGTATTACGTTTAATATCAAGCTGTGCAATAATAAAATTATAAATTTGTCCTTTTGCTTTTTTCTCACCAACTTGCTCATTTTTCATAATGTCTTTAACTTGATTATCAAACTCAATAACGTAATGGTACCAGCATAAAATTTCATCTTGATTGGCCTTTATTGCTTGTTTTTCTGCATCACAAGCTTTCCGATATAAGATGGCCAAATTTAGTAAAGTTTTACTTGATACAGAAAGTATAGTTATATCACTTACATGATTTTTGCTGACCTGATTCGAATTTTGGGTCAGCGAAATTTCAGTCACATGATTCGAAAATATAAAATTATAGTCTTGGATAGATGGAGATATTTCTTGGATAAATCCTTGTTCACGGGAGATAATAGGAACGGTATTCTGGGAAGTTATGATTGTCTCTTGATCTCGAAGTTTCTTCTCTTTAATCTTTTGAATTGTCTCTTTACTAATCGTTTCTCTATGCTTTTTATCCAGGAATTCATTTTTTTCCTTCTCATTTAATGACATTAATATGGTTTCTGCGGGAGATATGGGGATCACTGAATCCTGGTATATATCAGAATTGTCGGAGGCAAATACTTCATGGCTAGATGTGTTAGACTTCTCATGGATATCGTTAGAATTTAAAGTATTATCGGTTATATCAGATACCGAGGTATCATCACATTGTTGCACTATCTGTTTTGGAGAATCGTTAGAATTTACTGGAGATTGCGAAACATCTTCCGTAGAAATACTTTTTTTTTTCTCCTATTCTAATATAGAGAGCCTAGTCTCAAGCTCTATATTATTTTGCTCTAATTTCTTGACTCTAGTATCGCGTTTTGTATTCTCTTCTATAACCTGCTTTAGCTACACATTCTCAGCCTCGATATCAGATTACTTTTTTCTAAGTTCAGAAATCTCAGCCAAAAGCTTCGAATTTAATTCTTTCAATGAATCAATTTTGGATTTAGTATTCGACATTACTTTATATAGAAAGCACATTTATTCAAAATCTTTTTATTATGCAGATATCGGCATAAAGTACCGAAGTTAAATTCATACGGATTATTTTATAACATATCCAGTAATGGATTATAAAACCATACGCCAAGAAAAGGTTACTTGTGCACGAGACTGAACTTTAGTCACAAGACCAGTTGATCGTGCATATGTCAGATTTATCAATTTCCACGGATCCATTGTCAAAAAAAATATCCCGTAAAAAATGGATTATACTTTTGCTAATGGTGTCCCTACTGATTCTCAGGTTCTAGCAGTCTATAACGGTTTGAGTAGGGTCCAAAGAGCCAGATACGATAATGCAGTCAACGACCGGGAGAGAACCACTATCTTATATGTAGTTGCGAAGGAAAAGAAAAAACCGGTATGTTTGCTTAGATGGTGTACATTTGCCATTGAATTTTTCACTGAGATTTGTTATAAATATTAGTGGTGGCATCGCTTAATTGATTTATTTCGATAGTGACATTATCTCAGTCTTGTTTATGCTGTAATCAATTTATTTTCTGTCATCAGTTTTAATGTCTGGAGCCACTTTCAAAGATGAGATGGTGATCAAGATTTTATTAAATGTTGGAATAATTACAAGCCTGAACAAGATGTTATTCTTTACCAATTCTGTATTCTCTTTGGAACTCAAATTGTAATCATATTAATAACAGTAATAACAAAAAAATTGATTAATAAGTTTCAAAACACATTATTTATTATTGTTCCAATAATTACTGAAATAGGGTTGGCGGTAGTGAGAGGCCTAACTTGGACATTGCCAAATACCATGATTTCTTTTATAGGAGTTGAAATATTGGTTTTGGAAAGTGCTATATATTATTTTAGTATATATCGTTATTAATTATAATGGTGAGATTAGATCTTAAAGGATGTCATTACTTACATCCACTGTAAAATGTATCATTCAAAATTGTTAGGATCTTTCTCAGGATCTGCATCAGGATTTATAAAGGCCCAGATTTCATTTAACACCTACTTGAAAGAACTTCTTTTGATATCTACAATCCAAGAAACCAACCATTTGCTGAGAACTTTCTCAAACCCTTTCTCTATTTCCACTTTCAACTTGTCCATATGGTTATACAGAAAGGTTATCTTTTGTTTCAAGGCTTTTTTCTAGATTAACCTATAATGGAATCTATTAGCATTTACTTTCAGGAAAATCTTGATTCTCTATGTATATTTGGTTATTACTTTTTGATCTTTTACTCTAATAGTAAATTGGATTCTTTTGTGTTCTTCATATTGGACATATAGTTTGAAAATCTTCTCTTGAAATTCTATCAATTGCTTTAGTAACTTCATCAAGGGTTCTTGATGTTTAGAATAGTCACAAGCAGCAATAAACTGATAAAGGATTTTTATTTGTTCTTAAAGGATAATGATCCAACTAATTATAGCATCTGGGTATTAGACAGTGCAGATCATTCTGTTGATGCAAGATATTTTTCTTGAAATTTTTGATATAATTGTTAATGAATTATTGAAAAAATTTTCCATCAGGATATTATACAATAAATATAAAAATTCTTGGAATTTTTGTATTAATCAGCAATTTTGGAAGTAATTGAAAAAGACTACAACACATGATTACAACAATGTAATACATGGCAACAATGACATCACATGATAATGACAATAATAACACATGGCAACAACAATAAATAATGGCAATACATGGTAACAACAATTGGAACGTGCACAACATATGACAATAATGAAAAACAGAAATGTAGATCAATGATACAACTTGCTAAATTGGAATCAACTATTACCTACAGAATATGACAATCAAATTTGTAACAACATGATGATGCAACAAATATGGAAATTTGATTGACAAAGAGAAACCAATCAATGACACTCTCAATAATAAATTTCTCCATAGATATTTGAGGGTTTAGAACGAAATATGAACAACCGTATCACGTGACACTACTGTACAACACACCAAATTGAAAGTAAATGGCACATTACATCACACGATAGCCAAACGTAGCACGAAGTGAAGGATACTACTGTAATGCAAGGATACCTTCAGAGCGCAAAAACACTACCATACTACCGAAACGTCGCCATATGCTTCAAATGTCAAAGTACCACCGGAACGACACCAGATATACCCGATGCTACCGTGACATAAGGTCGCCGCAGCACAGTCAGAACGCCAAAATATGTCTGGAACACCGCAATATAGACTGAACTCGGGATATTCTCCGGATGCCGCAATATACCCCGGACGCCAACATAGTACGAGGATGCTACGATATCACCAGAATGCCGCAAGATATCCTGGATGCCGCCGGAAAAAGAGGTCGCCGCAGTATCTCCGGAATGCCAATACAAGTGCCGAATGTTGTCGCAATATACGATTGCCGCAGCACTGCCGGGACACCGTCATAACACGAAGTTACCACCACAAGAGCCAGATGCCGCCGAAATATACGATTGCTGCAGTATCGATGGGACGCCGACGCAAAGAAGTTGCTACTTGAAGTGCCAGATGCCGCCACGATATAAGATCGCCGCCACATCGACGGAACGTCGCCACAGCACGAAATTGTCGCTACATGTGCCCAGTGCTGCCGTAACACGAGGTTACCGCCGCACCGATGGGACGCTACTGTATGCGCCGGATGCCGCCGCAACGTAACGCCACAGCATCGACGGAACGACATCGCAATAAGATATTGCCACTAGAACGCCTGAAGAATTGAATGCCGCCGTACAACATGACGCCGCACAAGCCACGCATAGCACGCCGCAAGAACGCTGCGACACGATACATCATTGTACAACTCGCCGCAAGAATTCTACAAGATAGAACGTTGCTACACGAAACACCGCTTCACCACAGAACGCCGTACAATACGATGTAATGACACCGCAACACGAGACGCCACCGTATAACATGTTAGATTGAACGCCACGACGTGATACACCGCCGCATAACGTGCTGCAAGACAAGACGCCGCCATACATGACGCCACAGTATGATATGCCGCCGCACAGCAATGTACAACAGTCCGTATTGACGCCACAATATAAGGCGCCGCCGTTTTCATTATATCCTAGCCGTTGCAACATTAGCCACCAGCCACAGCATACCGCCGCCATTGTTAACACATAAAACGCTGTCATAATCGCCGCCGCCACCAACCATAGTACACCGCAATGATTTCTGCCACCACCACCAGCCACAGTGTGCCGCCGCAACTTCTGTCGCATAATATGCTATTACAACTGCCGCCATATGCCGAATGGAAACGCCACTTACATAGATCGCGCCACAACGTTACACAAAGCATATAACATTATGATACTATTAAAACGTGAAGCAAAACGCCACCAAGACCAAAGGAATGCCGCGAAACGTAACACGGACAATGCCACACAAAGCTACAAGCCTCCAAAGCCGACACCACTAGCCGTAGTATACGACGCCACACTCTTTTTATAAGCCATATTTCCACCTAATTATGTAAAAATGGCTAAAAATTTTTTTGAAATCATTGAGGACAATGACTTCTTAAGAAGGAGAGAATGCAACAATACTATTGGCGAAGTAAGTGACACAAAGTGTGTGCCACAAGTGGCACAAACAAGTTAATGGAAGGAGCAATACTCTAGGAATACAATGGTTCTTTAGGACATCTGGAACTTGAAATATCTTGAGTTAATGATTTTCTTTATACTTAGAGCATGTGACATATACAGGTGATATTTAGTATATGGCACATGACATGTGACGCTTAATCTCAAAAGGTATTTGATATTATAATAGTATAAGTTTACAAATACCAATAGTTCTATTTTGTTTTACTTTTAATTTCTCTAATTATTAGTAAGGAGTTTTAAAGGTATTAGGATAATTAGAATAATACACTAATTTATTATTGATTTCTGGAGAACCAATAAGATTATATGTATTATTTTAGACTTTTTTTTTTTTTTTTTAGTAGGTAAACATCATTTCTTTATTTGATTTGTATATGTCAAGGTATACATCGTGAAAG